GTTAGTATTGGACCAGGACAGGCTTAGTGGCAGAGTCCACTTGTTGCTTGGCAAAGGCCACAAATCAATTAAAGGCCCAAGGGCTGACGGAAAATAATAAGAGGAGCCCTATCAGGGGTCCAAAGAGGGAAGGGAGGAGGATGGTTAACCATGGGGAAGTATTAGGAATGGGTAGAAGGAAGCAAAAAGGAGTAACAGGAGATTATTTTCCTATATTAGCAAAGTCAGCCAAGCAGATTGTTGAGTCGGTGTCATTGCGGTCATTTTCAGGGGACCTGTAGAATGGGTTGATTGGAAGGCAAGAAGGACAGGCTTCTTCTCCCAAGGGGGCAGGAGTGTCAGGGTTTTCATCTCCCGAGTCCTCCTCCCTGGAGGAGGCTTCCACTGAAAGATGGGGAACTCGGTTGCTACTTGGAAGGGAAAGTAGAAATGCCAAGAGTGGCGATTGGGACAGGGATTTTTCTCAGGCCCAAAAGTCTCATCTCTTTTTATATTTTTGGTTGTGAGCCTAGCCTTTAATGGCTGAGCCATCTCTCCAGCCCCCCAAAGTCTCATAATAGGAGTCCCTCCTGACATCCACATCTCCTTACCCTCCTGCATTGCAGAGCCAGCTTAGTATCACTGTCAGCCTTAACCTTTCTAATTCCATGACCTCACTTGCAACTTCCTAGTATTCCCCAGGAATCGACAAGAACGTTAAATTCTCCCCCACCATCGGCCACTGTAACAGTGGACGAACTCGCCATGGATCCCCAAGCCAGGTGCAAAAGCAAAGAAGCACTGGCAGTTTCAAAAGTAATAGCATTAAGAAGATCGTGTGGAGCTTTCTTTCTTTTACTTTTCAAGCCAACCTAACCTGGGCTTCTCACTAGTGACCTTTCCCTAACCTGGCCCCGACCTACACTGTACTTACTGTTGCACTTTGTGTCCTACGAACCCATCTGGTCTGCCATGTTGTCAGATGATCAACTCTTGGAGGCAGTTGCCAACTCTAGCTCATTTCTTTTCATTAATGGTTCCTCCCTGGGGGGACCATGGACAAAGATCCCCGATAAAGAGGAAGAACCTTTTTAAAATTATTTCTTTCTAACCCAAGTTCCTGGTGCCTTAAGAGGGATTCTTTGACCCCAGAAAGATATAAATCTTCCTTGCTAATTTTCTCAATTGTTTTTTCTTAACCCAAGTTCTCTGAGTCTTGAGGGATTCTTTGATCCCAGAAAGAAAGAAATCTTCCTTACTAAATGCTTGTCCCATTACTCACCTTTTCCACATAGGTGGTGCTCAAAAGTCCCAAGCACTGGGACTTCAGAAAAGAGTGCTATATCTGGTTTACGGGGATGACTCTGACTTGCAAGGCCCTGTTCTTCTCTGTACTCACAGCTTTAGCTCTTCGGGTGTTTATGGAGCACTAAGACACTCCTACTGCAAAAGCCAGTAACAGGGCTCTCAGCTGCGCTCCATTGTCCCCTCACACTTTGCTCTCTCTGTTCACTGGTCTACACTGAACGTCACAGCATGGTCACCTGTATCCTTCAGGACACTGCTTTTGGTTCTGTTCACTGTGCTTCTCTCCTGTGCACTGTGCTAGCCAAAACTATACTGTAGGTCTGGCTTCCTGTCCCGCTCACCCCGATAGAAAGATTAGGGATGTGCCTAAATTCATCGTTTTCTTCTGTGTGCTGCTCCAACTTAGCATCTGTGGAATATGGTTAGGAACATCTCCTCCTTTCGTTGGCACAGATCGATATACATTCTCACCATGGCCCTATTCTGTGCCTTCTACGGCGTTCTCAGACACCTGGACTCTCTGGCCCTAGGAAGCTTCACTGTGGCTTTCTTTGCCAGGAACCTGTCTGATACCTTCATTGAGTCCAATGAGTCCAAGTTCCTTCTGCATGCTGATGTCCTGCAGTGTGTGGGTGACTTGCTTCCTATCTACCACAGCACAAAGGGAAAGATCACAGTGGCTGTGGAGGTTATTCTCCATAATCCATCTAATGTGGGGCTGCTAGTGGGCATATTTTTCCCAAAATGGCACATTATTTTGCAAACATCAGGTAAAAATTCTCTTCATAAGTTCAAACTAAAACACATCCATGAATCCTAATGGTTATTTTAAAAGCTAATGCATATATGAATTTACTACTAAAGTTGAAAACATCACTGCACTATTATTTAAAAAGGGTTATAATGAATTTTCTTTCCATGGAGAAATCACTCTCAGATGTTCTCTAATTTATGTGGCTGTATGAAGACTATTATCAATCCAACTGTCCGTGTTCACTCCTATTTGTCATCCATCATCCATCAGTTTATTTAACATAAACCTGCTATAAAACACTGAGTAGACCAAATGGAGTGCAAGTTATTATTTTCCCCCTCTAATATGCAATGGTGTTGGAAATAAGTCGAACATGTCTTTGAGAACTTTGTGGGAAAGTTAGAATTCTCTTCCATCAAGTGTGGAAAGTTTGAGATTCAGTCTGTGAGAAAGGGTGCTCCTTTGCATTCTCTCCAAATTACTTTTAGAGCTAAGGTTATAACAATGTACCCCTTGGAGGAGAATCACAATAGACTCATAAAGGATTAATATGTGTTCGTTAAGTAATAGAAAGAGTAGAACAGAAACTATTTCACAGTAATGGATGCCTAAGCAAGGCCCTCAAGTTGGAAGCACTTTTGAAGGGACCCTCAAGTTATCATAGTCTATAAATCCTACTGAGCAAGCACACAGTGCAAGAAGAAACAATGTTAGTTAAATTGTGCAGGCTATTTCCTCATTTCATGAGGAAATGAGGATGTGGTTGGAAAACCGACAGCTGGGGGGAAATTACTGTTAAAAACAATCTCATTTAATACATTTGTGTTTTAGTATTCTAGAGACCAAAACCTTGTGAAGACAAATGACCCAGCTCCACCGCTCCTTGGCTTATGCCCAAAGGACTTACACCCTGTGCTACAGATTTTTCCTCATCCGTGTTCATTGCTGCATTATTCATATTAGGTGGGAAGCAGAAACAACCAAATGTCTTTCAGCTGATTAGTGAATAACAAAAACGTGTACAAAACACAATGGGGGGCTGGAGAGATGGCTCAGACACCGACTGTTCTTCCAGAGGTCCTGAATTCAATTCCCAGCAACCACATGGTGGCTCACAACCATCCCTTATGAGATCTGGTGCCCTCTTCTGGTGTGCAGATATACATGGAAGCAGAATGTTGTATACATAATAAATAAAATCTTTAAAACACACACACACACAATGGGAATTCTATTAAGCTGTAAAGAAAATGAAACCATTAAAGTTGCAGGTAAATAGATGGAAGTAGAAAATAAACCTAGAACCCAGAACGACAAAAAGCCACATTTTTTTTTTTTATTTTATGCCTATGGGTGTTTTACATGCATGTACATTTACCTGCATGTACATCTCTGTACACCACATATCTGCCTGGTGTCACTGAGGCCGGAAGACGGTGTTTAGAGCCCTAGGAACTGAAGTTGATACACTATGTGGGTGCTGGGAAATAAGCCTGAGTCCTCTGGAAGATCAGCCCGTTTTCATAATCTCTGAGCCATCTCTCCAGTGTTTATATTAAAAATCTCTTTTTAAACCGCAGTCTTGCTTCATTTTGACTCACCCAAAATTTACTTTCTAGAAGAGAGAGAGACAGAGACAGACAGAGAGAGAGAGAGAGAGAGACAGAGACAGACAGACAGACAGACAGACAGACAGAGACAGAGAGTGAGTGAGTGAGTTTCTGGCTTCACCGAATAGAGATCTCTAAACAAAACAAAACAAAACAAAACAAAACCCAAACCCCTCGGGCAGGTGGCAAACACCTCCCACTTCCCCCGAAAATCCATTTGTTCTCGGAAGGAAAGGACTGTCTCTAAAGGTCACCAGGCCTGGGATTTCCTGAGCCCCTTCATCTCCGGGAATCAGCAACCAGAAAAGTGCACTGAGTAGAGACGGACGCCGGATTTGTCTCGAGAGAGCAGCTGGGAGCAAACTCTGCAGGAAAGGCATCTTCTCCAGGCAGCTGGGTGGTCTCCCCCAAGCAGAGACGCCGAGCCGGGAAGGGGGATGGTTGGAGCGCGCCCTTTCGCCCTCCTCGGTCAGACGGAGAACGCACGGCTTATCTGTCACTCAATGCGTGAGCACTAATCAAAAGGCAGAAGGTCGCGTGAGCTGTCCAATCAGGATGGCCGGGGGCGGGGCGGAAGTGCCTCACCCGCCATCCTTCTTCCTTGCCCCGGGTAGTGGCAGGATTGCCTTGTCGTGACCGCTGAGGTAGCAGGGGTCGCTTACCTCTGTAGCTGTGGGCCCGCCAACCTCGGGAGCAATGGTGAAGGCTGTGGGGCTGTGGGGACTGCGAGCGGTTGGGACCTGCGCACCGGC